CATTGCATATACCATTCTTTTATTTATTTTTTTCTCCATAACAACCTTGTGATTGGACTGAGATAGAGTAAATGGCCCAAAGTCATGAACCTCTACTTTTTCTCACACTGCAATTTTTTTTATCAAATGTAGTACCTGACATAACTGAAAATTTCTTCAAAGTGGAAGTCATTTACACAAGATTTTCTAAAACTGGGATCTTATGTATTTTCTCTTATGCTTGGATTTTCAAAAGTGAATGTATAGTTTTCATTATTCTTCTGTAAACTAAGTACTGATTGCAACAACAAAAATCCAATTTCTGAGGTAAAAATTTAACTCTATTCCTTTTTTATTTTGCAAACCTAAACAGTTTTTAGTAGTGAAAAAATTCTATTTTAACTAGATGAAACAGGTTGCAACTTCCTACTTCCTTCCCTTGACACTCTAAAATTATAAAAATTCAGCAAGATTGCAATTTCATGTGCAATTATCTTCTGAGTAAACATCAACACGATTGCACTTCAAATATCTATACAATATAACTCAACATTTTGATTAGAGATATATTTCTGTTAATTGTCAAACATAGTGTGTACAACATCTGAGGGCTCAGGACTACAGCACTCTAATGCAGGGATGTCAAACTCACATTGTCATGGCGGCATTATGTGATGTATTGGGACTTTTTTCCCCTTCACTAAACCGGGCGTAGCCAGCGCGTGATGCATCTAGCCAGTAGGCCAGGATTTGACAGCCTGCTCTAACAAAAGTCAACTAATAATCCTGGGAAATCACCAGATAGGACACAATCAACTCTTTCTGAACTTGTTTTGGTTTTAGGGAGACTTTAAAGGTATGTGTGGGTGAACCTCTCAAAGGCAAACTTGTCTTAATTCTCTTGTTAACCTCTCCCAGATAAAAATTAAGCCTTTTTGCCAGTGAATTCCTCCGGCAGAATCTTGATTGCTGCAAGTGACCTATAGGATGTCAATCCTTAACCTAAAGGAATAAAAAAGCAAGGGTTTTTTTCTGTGAAGTTTCTTTTATGCGGATTTATTATGCCTAAAGCATGGGAATATAAGTACATGTCCAGTAATGGCATAACATATGAATCATGCATTATCCCAAACAGAATGAGGTTACATTTCTATACTAGGAACTTGTGTTTCTGAGATGTCTTTGATCATATGTTCTCATATCTATGGTTCCATGTTGGTTGCGTAACAGCGGAATTATTTTGAGAGTTCATTCTTTATTTCTGAACAGCAACGGGAAGTGAGTATTCAGCTGTTCCTCAAATTCTTTGAATTGAAATCAATTCATAATACATACATGCAAAGTCAATATATAATTTTTATCTTGCTTGCTTGCTCTTATTTAAAGTTTATTACTACATGCAAACCCAGTTGATAAACTGGGCTTATTTCTTACTTATACAAAGAGATACCAATAAATTTTCCAATAGTTTCTATAGATAGTAAAACAGAAAATTATAGAATAATATATTTTAACTTTTTAAAAATTCTTTTAGCATCAATAAGATATTTCATCTTTTGCTGAGGCTATTATGGTTGATGCTAACAAGTATCATTTTAATTTTTTTAACTGAAAGACAATGAACATAAATTAAAATAAAGAAAATAATGTAAATTGTTGTAAATCATTGTAAATCTGCAGACATTTACAATGGAATATTGATGGCATAATCTGAACAGGTTAATAAAGTATATCTTTATTTTTTGTACAGACAACCACAGATACTACCAACTTCAATTGAAGCTATGAAGGATTACACAAACATCCATCAAAATATTTCATCCTCCCTTTTTACAGAAGCTTGAATATTTATATTCATCTTTAAAATGCTCAGTGGTACTTATCTGGTAAGACATAGCAGTCCAGATAGGACATATTTTTTTTTAACTTAACATAAATGAGTAGATACGTAAGAGAACGTCTTTTAATATATAAATGTCCTTCTTAGACAAAATGGTCCTTTTAGCTCTGTCATGATGGGACCCAGACTCTTTGAAAAGGCACAGGGCAACTTCATTATTCACTAAATTATATAACATTTTATCAATAGGAAGTATCAGTATACAAACAAACACACACATCCTGATTTTAAAAATCCTTTGGTAACAAGATTTAAAACCATACCTATTTCTAATTTGCTAAAAAACATGCTTCTGAAACATTTTTTTTTACTTCAGTTCTTAAAGATTTATTCTGTTTAGGGTAATTTCTTCCAATCCTCTTACTTGGAATATTTGCTTGATGGATTCACTTAATTTCCCCTCCTCTTATTTTTTTTACCCATTCTTATTTGTTCTCCTCCTCCCCAACCTCTCTCTAATTCTATCCACTTCAATCTTTTCAGAGGGAGACAACCCCGCCCCTAACCTCCAAACATTTCTTAACATTCTTGAGTTCTTAAAACATCTCTGAGGTTGTTTTAATTAACTCTTTCCTTCACTAACAGAATTTTGCTGCTTTTTAAAGAGGCAAAATTACAAATTTTCTCCAACTTTTTTTCTTTCAATAAATGTTCAAGAGAAAACATTCCTAACACAAATAATCTCTCCCCACCCCTAAATCTATACATATTCAAGTGGCAAATTAAAGCACACTTTCTTGGAAGAAGTTCTTTTCAATCAATGCAACTTTTTTAAAAAAAATTAAGATTGAGAATAATTATCATTACCTAAAAGTTATTTTTAAAATGAAAAACATTTACCTCAAAAAGCATTTGTTAGCTAATTATGCTGGATGTATGATCTCAAATTTGTTTCTTTTGATGGATGGCATACAATACAAATCAAATTGTACTTTTCAAGAGCCAGTTCAATCAAATGAAGGAAGGGTTTTGAAAAAAACTTCCAATACTAGTGAAGATAAATTTTAAGATATATATATTAAATGCCTTTTTTTCCATTTTTTGCATCTGATTTAATAAAAATTTAAGCTAACCAAGACTATCCTCCTTAGACAACCTGAATTTCTCATTGTCTAATTCAGCTTTCTCCAACCTGCACTTACTGGACATGGTGAACTAAAACACTCTGCCTGCATGAATCATGCTAGAAGGGGATTCTGGGAACTACAGTTCAAAGCATCTGGAAACAGTTTGAACAGGGCTCAAGAATGCTGATCATGTTTTTTTAAATGAAATAAGCAGAGTGTGATTTATTTTATTTTGATAACTTGGAAGATATATAGCACTATTCCTAGATATTTCATTACCTAAATTACTGGAAACATTTATAAATTTTGATAAGTGATAAAAAAATATACCTCATTAGCTACATTATTATTGAGACTATTATAACATTCTGAATTAACTAGTTCCTCTTCTGGTTATCATTCCAAACAGGAAAATCAAGTCCCAAGACAAGTTGAAAAAGACACAGACACACACGAAACTCAATCTAGCAATCCAGAAGAATCACCAATCTATTTTTATAAGAATTAAATATAAATTTTCTTGGAAGAAATCATTACGTATTTCATTACGATATTTGAACACAAAATTCAAAATATATCAAAGAAATCTATCAACAACATATAGCATATAGTAAATGATATGATCTAAAATTTTGGGCAGATTTTAAAATCTTGAACACAACCATTATAATTAGTGAGTAGAATGTGGTAATATTAATCTGGAAAATTATTTGATATTTTTTTTTGAAAAATTATCTTTTTTATATTTGGAAGCATTGAAGATAATTCACTCGGTACACAATTCTTCAATAGATTTAATTTACATACATTGGTTGATTTCAGCATTATGTAAGAATCAATCATCTCTCAGAATTATCTATAATCTATACAAATGTTTTGTAAAAAATTATTCAGGAGTAAAAGTTCCTTTTCTTGAACTACCAATCCCCCCACAATATTTCTTAAGTTTTTTTCACTGTGGAATTGGCTTCTTGAATACATTTGTCTTAGACACACTTTAACACCCTACATACTCTGTATATCAACCTACAAAGACTGTTTACAAACATTACTGTTCATCCATTATACAAAATCCACTCTACTGGTCCAATAAATTAATCAAACAGCTTTTGGGACTCTTGCAATGTTTCAGAATATGTAATATTTTTTAAGTCTTCCAGCAACACATTCTATATAAGGTTTGGAAGTCCAAGAAGTATGAGAATCAGTGTGAACACAAGAGCAGGAAATTGTGATGTCAATCATGCACAAAAATAATCCTTTGAATTACATGAACAGGCAGCTATCCTTCCCTCCCATTAGATTCTTCTAAAAAAAAAAGAATCACAATTCTTTTTCTTCTTTTACAAGAATCACAAATATAAATATACTTTACATTTTATGTTCAATTTCTAGGATTGATATGACTAAGGATTAATTGCAACTTTTCTCTGAAGGAAAAAGATATTTGCTATAACATATTTTTGAAAGATTCTAAAATAAAGCCAGATAAGCAATAGAATGAAAAGATCAAAAATGTATAAAATGCAATACTTTATAATAAAAACATACATAAAAACATACATACACAAAAATACGAAGTATTTACAGAAATAAGTAGAAAGCAAGTATTTTTTACATTCAAAATTGGGCCAATAAATTTCTAATTTGCTCAATTTCAACAAGAATTTAAAACTAAAAAGATTGATTTAAAAAAAAAAGCCCCATAGCACAAGGAAGTCATGTCATGTTGAAATTAGTATAAGTAACATTGAAATTTAATCCAAAAAACTATACTTTTAGTGTTAATGAAGAGTAATAACATATCTGTATGTAATTGTTTCTTTAATGAACCCAAAGTAATTTGGGGTGAAAAGGAATAAACAAGCAGTTTAAGAAAGGCTTTTAAAAATGTGTTTGTTTTTCAAGTAATTTTGTTCTGGAGTGTAAAACAAAAATGTAAAATACATTCTTCTTGCAACTTAGCTTTATTTATACCAGCTTAGCATTTTTAACACATTTTATCTTCTCTGTTGTATTTCAATATAGATAAATTCAAAGAAAACACCTTTTACCTTTGTTTTTTAGGGACTGAGTGTTCAATCTCGAGTTGTTTCCCATGCAACTCCACTTTGCCTAAAAACACAAGTTTGCTTTTTAAAAAAAAAATGTATACTGAAAAAGAAGGATATCAATGGTCATATGTAACTCAACTTCTGCTCCTTCCCTCTACTCTTCATGTTTTAATTCAACCAAGAAGGAGATTCAGGTGCATTTTATCATAAAAACTCCTTGTTTGACATTCCTATCTTTCTACTCTTAATTAAAAAAAATAAATGGATTTCAAATGGAAAATATATGATAAAAAAAAACCAAACACATTTTATTCCAAAGGCAATAATTTAACTCATTTTAACACATTAGAAGATCTGGTTCACCAGGGAAAGGAGGAAACAAACAGGAATTGTAAGGCCTATTCCTACGTCCAACTTGCTTGGTTTTCAAGATAATTCATATCTTCTTTTCATTTTTTTTAAAGAAGATAAATGAAAACATTCAGTTGAGAAAAGTGACATTAAAAAGGCCCAGAACTCTGATGTGGTATTTTAAATAGGGAACAAAACATCTGGTCTCAGCAAAAGTCAACATTAGGTTTGCTCTGCTAGTTCCCTCTGCTTCTCTTGTCTCAAATCTCTAAACAGCATGGCGACCTTCAGGCTAATACACCCATCACATGCCCCAGGAAACCCCTGTTTAAATCAAAATGGCCAAAGTCCAACACCTCCCCTCCTTTTTCCCCACTTCCCACCCTGAAGTACCACACACGCTTAACAAGCAAAAATACAACACTGGATTGCTTGATAAATCCCAAATGGCATTGAAAGAACGTGGAATGGGACAGCGTTGATCCCAGAGAAGATATTAAAGTGATGGAGAGTTTTATTTATCTGTTAAGAGATGGCTAATTTGGAGGGAAGAAATGGGGAGGGGGGTTTCTGAAGGGGGGGAAAGATCACCCATCCCCCTACATACAGACACATGGAATATTAATTCAAATTTTGCCAAATGAAAATTTGTTTATAGGAAAGGCCTGATTTATGTAATATCCTAGTAGTAGTAGAAGAATAGGGGTACTTAGTGAGGAGGACATTTTGGCTGAATAATAAAAACAAGAGCCCTCTAGAAAGCTATGGAAGTTGATAGGAAATTGTAGGCCCAACAAGTTAAAATATTCGCCACCTAGTTCAATACTCACGGAGGAAAGTGGGAGGGGGAAATCGAAGGGGTACCCCCCTCCCAGTGGATGAGGGGAAAATACGAAACGAAAGTAACTTTCATTGATGACTACAGAGAGCTAAAGAAAGAAAGGGCGGAAGCGCGAGTACGAGCAAAGTGTGGCTGCCTGGTCGCATCTTTGAACACCACGTTTTACGAGTCTTTGCACATACAAAAAGAGCCGGCCCGCTAGTATTTGCAGTTCTGAGTGGCAATATACATTTTATAAAACTATGCGGGGTTGCTCCTTTTTTTGCAAAGCAACTGTTCATTCCAAAATCTCAAAGGTTTCCAAAGGAAAGGGGGAAAAAGAGATGAAAAAGACAGAACGAGCGAGCGAGCGATAAATCCATTGGCTTACCAGAAAAAGTTTCGATGGCTTTCATAGCCCATTGCTCATCTGGGCAGTCGACAAAGGCGTAGCCAGACTTCACCAAGAACTGGCCAGAGAAGGATATTTTGTGGTCGTTGAAGACTTTCTCCAGATCCGCCGGAGTCACGTTCTCGTTGAGGTTTCCAATATACAGCTTGTTCATGGCTGATGCGTTTTGCACAAAATGTTGGGTAGGTCCAAAACGGGAGTGAGTCACGGGAGGTGGGAGGGAAAGAAGAAAATAACTCACATACACCGGGCGTGGGGAGAGAGGGAGACGACTGGGCTTTCCGAAACTTTTAACAATTGCTTTATATTTTAAAAGTCTCTTATTCTACGCTGAGGGGCCTAGGAAAGTAAGAAAAACCGGCTATTTTGGTTGTGGGAAGGAAAAGGGGAGGGGGATAGTCTAAGAGGAAAGAGGGGGGAATGTTCCCTGTTTTGTATAATCAATGGGGACGGTTGATTTGGATGCAAGTTCGTATGGCGGGCTAGGGAAAATGGCTCTTTTTTTTCCAGTGGCCCCCCAACTCCTTTTGAGTCGCAACTCATGTGTGTCGCACACGCGCGCGCACACACACACACACATACACGCACACCGAGAGAAAGAGGCAAAGGACGTCTCCGACTGTGAGGCAGGACTTAGCGCCGCCCCTAAATAAAATCGACCTGGAAAAATGAGTGAAAATGTTTGCAAGAGGAAGCCACGTGGTGGAGCCAAAAAAAGGGGCGGGGCACCCTTTATACACATAGAATACTCTTGTTCCGAGGCATGTTATCTTTTCTCAATATTACTGAGTTTTGTTTTTTTTATTTAGTTTCCGTTGGTTCTGCGAAGATAAATTTTTCCGCTTTTTCCAATCGAGCGCATTTCTTCAGCGAAGCGCAGCTATAGGACGCTAATTCTAGGTTTCCTCTCCCTGCCGGGAGGGCCATAGCCCAACCCCCATCGCAGACCCCTCCTCCTGTTTTCCTGGCCTGCTCTCCCACCCTCCCCCCAGCTTCTTTGAATGAGATTTTCTGGGTGTAAACTTAATCGGAGTTCTGCTTCCCTAGAAAGGAAAGAGCGAAGGGACTGAAAGGTGACGCTCAGTGTGTGGGCGCACCAGACCTGGACTTCCAGTTGCCGTTTTTCAGGCTTTGGATCACGTTTGTGAGACGGGATTTTAAAAAGTTGGGATTGGCCAAATACAATCGTGGGAATGGATGACGCGGGACAAAGGGGTATGTGAAGGTGTGCCTCCTTTACCGATGTAAATTGAGAGATGCGAATCTTCAAGAACTAAAACCAGCACACTTGGAACTTGCGGTATAGGAGAAAAGAGCTTGAGTGCCCATAAACACATTTGCTTACAAGTTGATCTTTATTTACGCGTGCCACCGCTTCAGTGTTGACCACAAGGAAAGGCAGAAAAGCGTTTTTGGATAGTTGCAAATGCCTATACAGTTGCTGCGCGAAAGCAAGCAAGAAGATAACAGTCGAAGTTATTTCCGTACCGGGACGCCACGGTGTTTCTTTACAACCACAAGGCGATTTCTTAAAACCAGTCCGTCCCCCGTCCCCCCAATCAAGGACGGTTTGGCTCGAGGACCCCTTTTCGCCTCTTAAAATGGGAGAGATGGGAATTCTTGCTCTCCCACTCCTCTCACCGGAATGGATGAAGAAAAAAACCCGCTAGACTCGCTCTATACCTTGTTTCTTACGACCGTCCAGTTTATCCGCACCTTAAATTTGTAGGGCGAGATGACTAACTGGTTGGTTTCTTGCTTCATCAACTCTTTACTCCCCGACCTAACAATACAAATACTTTAAAAGGAAGTGGGGGGATGACAAGAAAGGGGCACGGGCTTCCGAGATAGGCGCGCAAATATTCGCTTGGTTCCACGAATGAACATTTGTAAAAAAAAATCTTATAATTATTTATTTCTCCACCAACCAAAAGGGTGGAGAGGGAAGCCGCTTCCGCTTAAACCTTGTCTCGCGCGAGGCAACATGTGCACCTTGTCTCCCCCACCCCACCCCCTTGAAGCGCCCGTCCATATGCCTTCTTTGGGGGAGGAGGCGAGTCCGGTTATTGAAAAGGGCGCTTTGGTTGACACAGAAAGGGGAGGGCTGCGCGGAGCCGTCTTATTGATCCGTGAGACGGAGAAAAGAAAATGTATCGTCCGCCTATAAACATTTTGAGTTCAGCTTGGAATCTATCATCCAGTCGGAGAGCACGCCTGTCCCATTTTGTGCAATGGTCCAAGAGGTTTTAAAAGACTAATGTTTAGCGTTCCGATACAAAAACTTACGAAGAAAGTCCCGTGAATTCATTCTACCTTTCTATGCAGGTAGAAAAATCGCGCGGCTTTTCTTTCTTAGGCGAGCTGAAGGAAGCTTGCAAGATGCAGGCAGAACAAGGACGCTTTTCTGAATAGGAAGCGGGGGACAAAGGGGAAGATGGTGGATGCAACCCTCCTAGTCGCTACCCCACCCCCAGCCTCACTTTTAATGCTCTTCCATCTTCCCAAGGAGGAGGGGATGGAATGAAAGGATTTAGTCACGGCAATAGCTAAGTTGCCTCTGAAGAGACGCCAACTGTCCCTCAGCAACGTGGGTGCCTGCCATTATCAAGCAGAGATGGAAATCTTTAAAGCATGCCAGTCACAACCCACCAATCTAGGGACTGGCAGGGGGAGGGGCGGGAAAGGGAAATGGCAAGGGGGGGATGGGGAGCTTGCATCGTCGGAATGTGCTGGCCCTTTAAATGGCTGCCGTGTGAGTGTCAGCGTGCATGCTGTCTTCCATAAACCGGCTAGAGTAAAACTTTCATTTGGATTCTTGATTTGCACAGGGCTTATGAATGGAAGACCTGAGTCCTTGTAGTGAACTCGCAATGAGGTTGCCGGAGGTTGTTTTGTTTTGTTTAAACGCAAAACATGACTTTAACCAAAAATCCCATTACAGCTATTGAGTGTGAAAAGGTGGCCAGGAAAGATCGATTTTCTAATTGAACTAGAAATTTGATCTACAGAGAACAGCAGTCTTGAAATTCCGTTCTGCTTTTAGAAATGCGAATTGGGGCTCCTAAAATGGTAGCGATCAGGGGCTTTGATCTTTTTAAGTCTTCCGAAGAGATTGGATGAATAAAATTCATAGTAATGGGGATGTAGACAGAGATAATTCTTAAACGTTATGTTTTTTACGTTAAGGTCCACAAATGAATTCAAACTTTTTTACAAATGTGAATGCAACTTAATAAGCCCTTCTTTGATTATTTAAGAAAGATTCCATAATTATTAAACTATTTTTATTAAAACTCCTCCTAAAAATTATGTCCTAAATTTCACTTTAAAAATATCAAACCATGCAAAAACTAAAGTGTTTACAGAAATATTTAAAACTAGCAACTTCTTTAAAAAAAACAGTCTGAAGGTAGTTTAAAATTATTTTTTATAATTTAAATAAATATATTTGAATATCAAAGTTGAATTGATTTCCCAAACCAATTTATCTTCTCAGTAAAGATCTTAAAATAATTTTCTGACAGATTTTTTCTTCCCTTGAGGTATAGGTGCTTGCAGTTGAAGAGAAGTTTTATTCTTTTATGCTTTTTGGTCTTTAAGATTGAATAAGCAAGGTGTCCTGAATAACTTTTGTGAACTTATGGTCTTTTAAAACATCAGATTTTAAACATATGCCTGCAAAAATAGCACACCTAACATTTTGTAATTTCAATGACTTTTTTATAGATGATAATACTGAATTTATTTTTTTCATAATATAATTGTTTCAACTTTTAAAAGTGTGTATCTACTTATAAATGTGGAAAGGGAATTTCAGGAAGGCAGTAGTGTCACAAAAAACAGGAAAAGCCCAAGGGGAACATC